AGTGATACCTGTTCGAAAATTCACGAGTACAACTCGATTTTCCGAAGACCTTGTTCAACAGTGCTTCAGACCAGCCTTGAAGTCAATCGAGAATGCCCCTGCGACTTGGCCCCCTTTGTTGACCGGCAAATTTCCTCCATATCATTTTTAATAAACACCTGATTTACCCATACGACGATCCTCTGTGGATTAATCATAGCTGTGGCAGTTTATAAATGCAGAACTTCTTAACAATTACTGAGTGATTGTTTCAGGATACTGTTGTCCCTTAACAGCCTGAAGATGAGTTTTGAATTGAGCAGTAGTTGCCGTACAAACAGTTTTTTGTTGAAATGACTTTTCACTCGTTGTATGAGCTAAGTACTCTTCGTAGATTGTTCAGAAGGAGCCATTGGAAGCATATTATGCTGTATTTTGTCTGATCGATTTGTGTTCAGTTTGCATGCTGTGGAGGTTCCAACTACGAGGTCTACGAAGGTTCACGCTGGAGTGCACACCCAAGTGATATCGTCCCCAAGGTTGGCCTTGTTCCTGATTCTTGCTGTGTCTGGAACGAATCCACTTGGCAGATCGTGGATCCGGAGGCTTGTCACGGGGATACTTTGACTGTCCCCAACTCAGCAAATTTGAAGGTATGTCTTTCTGCGATGAATCAGTCTGTAACAGTCCCTTCATATAGTTTTACTTGCAAATCATTTTGATAATAGGTCAATGCCTCCCTTTTCTTTCAATATAGTTTTTGTGCATGTCGAGAGTAGCACTTTTGTGGCACGAAGGTGATTCGTTCACCGTTGCTGGCCAGTTTCTATACTCATTCACACAACTGTCATAGTTGCACACACCGACCTACTAATAATTGAGCGCGGCAGAAAGGTTATCCTTTGAGACACGAGACGCACTTCGCGAGCTGTTCATTCTCTGGCCCAAGGCCGGTGTTAAGAAAAGTCAAAAAGACCTAAATCGGGATCGGGTGCAGGCGGCCGGAGACACCATGCCTGACTTGGATCCCACGGAGGGTGAGTGCCATAAAAACTACAGGTGGCTGGTGCATGAGCCCGCACCTGCGCGTACCACCCAAGCTCCTCGTTCGTTTTCTTTTGAGCGCAACTGGTCTAACGCCAGCCATTTCATGATCTGGTCTCCGTTTTTGTCCAACGCAGCCCGTTTATGGGACCAACTACTGTCAACTTCCAACGCTGTTCCCAACAACACAAATACTACTTCTACTGTTGCTGATGCTGATGCTGCTACTACAACTACTACTGTTCACAGTCAAATCCTGGAGGACGCACGAGTAAATTCAAC